AACATCCTTCTAGTGTCAAACTCCGCACATAAGTCATTCTGTACTCTGTGAAGATCAAACTGTAGGAACAAGAGTGGAAAATCAGTGAAATATAGTTTCTCTTCCTCCCCCAGTCCTTCAGAAAGCACTCTGATTTTATGAATCATGTTCTGCTTGTTGTGGTTGTTTGACAGGTTGTGTTTGTGTTATTTCACTCAGGTTCGAGCTGGGTACCGGCCTCTTTATGGGTTGGGGTGGATCCTCTCTGGGTATGCTGGGTGGAGCTTTACTCTGCACCGCCTGCAAGAGAGCATCACCTGGAGGCAAGAAAGGGTAAGTGCTGCACACCTCACCCGAGTATTACAGCAATGGCGTTCGTCACATGATGCACACCGACCAAAACTACTGTTTCCCATAAGGTCACATTGTAAAAGAAGCGGCTGTAAATTTTACAAGCTCCACAAAATGACTCGTTTTACTTTCAGAATTTGATCTGTTCAGTACAATAAAGTCTAGAAGAGCCAGCTTTTTAACTTTTAACACTTCGGTGATCATATCTCACAGTCTGACTTCCTCTTTCTTGTTTTTGCAGCGGTTACTATGGAAACCAGCCAAAGAAGGTCTACACGGCTACGGCCAAGTCCGATCCAGATTCAGCCAGAGCTTACGTCTGAACCCACGTGTCGTACTCTTTACTGTACACCTATACATCTGTACACTTGCAAGGACATTCATTTCCTGAAGGCTTACACCAACTTCCTCCAATAAATGTAACAAAGTTCTAACCCCACAAATAAGTCAGGTTTTAGAGGACCAGGTGTTTGTCCCCAGACGGACAGACAGTCCCCACAGGCCACATTACTGTAAACACACCACGTCTAATGAATGTTCTTTTTCTGTACTTTTGGAATATTTACTTATTTTTTTAAGACTTTTTGAGGCAAAATCTGAAATCTAAATGTTGGGAAAGATTTGTAGATGAGTGTTAATGATTATATAATTCTGTTTGGAGTTTATTATTATCTGAATAAAGTTTGTATTACAGGTTAATTATGGTTTTTGGTTCTTTTTTTAGAAGGTGAACACATATTTCATACATATTTTATTTTGTAATTAACACAAATCTGATGTTAAAGATAACTAAATAATATTACTCAATTAATATAATGTGCAGGAAATATATACAAATGATTACCACTTTATTTGAACCCTTTGATATAGTATGTATAAGCAGTAAATATACAGCTGTAAGCACATAAAGGTAAGGTAAAGATTGTTGTTTATTAATGTAGTTGTGAACAACAACAATAACTTATCCTGTGAGGCCTCTAAAACTGGCAATGTAATCCAGGATAACAGTAACAGACTGACTACGAATCAATGGGCCCTTCGGCATAAGCATGTAAAGGGCCCCTCACCTCTTTTTAACATAAGAGCAAGACCCACAGATTTGTGTTCATTTTGTGACTAATTGTGGTCATTTCTTGTCTCTTTGTGGTCTTTTTTGTTTAGTTTGTGGTTGTTTGATGTCTCCGTGTCATTTCGCATCTCTTCGTAGTTGTTTGGTGTCCTGACTCCTGGAGGAGTAAGCTCCTATTTCTGGTCAGCCTGTTCAGTATTCGTGATAACAATATAACACAATTATACTCATATAGATGTGAAGATGTTTTTATTAATTGTTGACAAATACTCATAATAAATAGATATTTGTGTGTTATCAATAATTTATTGTGTCTTTATATTAATAATAAAAGCTAAATGTGGCTTAAAGTGTTTACTGTGTCCCAAGTTAGGAAACCACACGTTTGTTCCTGCACGTGCGCATTGTATATTATTTCAGTCGAGTGTATGTGTGTGTGTCTGTGTGTGTGTGTGTGTGTGTGTGTGTGTGTGGAGGTCTATACATAGAGTGATGCTTTGGAGCTTTAATCCACTGTTCTGCCTGTCAGCAGGTAAACAGACAGAGGTGGATTACTGCCCTGCAGCGCATTAATCATCATTATTACACAGGAGATTACAACTAACACACACACACACACACACACACAAACACACACACACACTGTAGACTGGATCAAACCTGCTGCTCAACCTTCAGGCTGCCTCTGGACAAACGCTGGATGTCAAAAGTCTGAACACATCTTAATTTTTCTGCCTGTTCACAGTTCTGCAAACCAAAACTGTCAGTTGATAATTTATGGTTTTAAAAAGGGGGTTAAAGGTCACGGAGAACAATTCCTCTGCTTCATCAATCTGATGGCTGAAGTTAGTCTACAGATTTCATAATGACAATGACGTTGTTCGTTCTTTGTCCATTTTTAACGCAGTATCAGAAGTCATAAAACATTCAAGATTGAATGAAGATTGTCACAAAAAAGTACAGCAGCCCTGAGCATGTCTTACTTATAGTAACTCATCTATATAAAGCAGGTGAAAGCACTAATACATTTACATTCAAATTTCTTTGAAGCAACGTACGTACGTTACCTTTTATTCATTTACTCAAGTTACGTCAGGTACAGAACGTAATTTATGACCCAAACAAGTTGTTTTTGTGTCTGATTTTAAGGTAGAAACATGGTGTCTAGGGTAGTGTGAACTGAGAGGCTGCATGAATGCCCAGTTTAAGATGAGTAAGGATGTTTTTGAAGAGTGAATCTGTGACTGAGAATATAGAGCTGGAAATGAGCAAAATTACCAGCTCGAGGTTTCTGCCTCTTAAAATGAAGCTTTTCCTTTCCACTGTTGCCAAGTACTTGCTCATGGTGGGAACTGTTGGGTCTCTCTCAGTCTCTGTGACTGGACCAGAAAATCAATGGAACAAAGGTTCTATTACTAGAAATATTCCCATCTCTCCGTCTCCAATATATATACAAAAAGCCCTTAAAAAACATACATATATATATATGTATACAGTATATAAACTCCCCCCGAGGTTTGGGTTAAGCCCTGAAGATCATCTGGTTCCACCCCTGCTTAATCCCCCGCGTACTACAGTCCTACGCCCCTGGTTAACCCGCCTGAGGTTCTCGTTCATGTTGTAAAAATTGCCCTTCAAAATAAAGTATAAAATGTGTTTCTGTATTGCCAGTTTGTGCACATTTTATGTTTTAATGTTGTTGTATGTTTCCCTTACGAAACCATTTCCACCTCTCTCTCTCTCTCTGTCCTCTCTCTCCTCCTCCTCTCTCTCTCTCTCTCTCTCTCTGTCTGTCTCTTCTCTCTCTCTCTCTCTCTCTCTAATCTGGAACTGTTGTGCTGACTGAGGAGAACCAGCATCAATCCTCTCAGTCGGCTCATTCACAGGAAGTCTGCCCCTGTCTGTCTGTCCTGTCCTGTCTGTCTGTCTGTCTGGATGTTGTGGTGTGAGGAGGAGGAGGGTGGGGGGGTTGTAGTGCTGTAGTACTGAGGGTTGGTCAAAGTTCACAGCCGGGTCACCTGATTGGCTGACGGGGGCGAGGGAGGCTGTGACGGACAGCAGGTGTTTACTTATAGAGCATCTCCGCCCGTCTCCTCCTCCGATCCAACAGCACACCCTCCGCTTCTGCAACACAGGTGAGTCTGAAAAACACCTCTCCCGTCTCATATTGTACGAGTGTTTACTCTGTGTATTTATCTATAATAGACCGTATGGACAGTGTTTGATGGATGGTTGAAACCTGTTGCTGAAAAATAAGAAAAAATACAAGAGAAATTTAAGAGAATGTTGCTGCATGAGGCCCACTGTGTCTGTAATTTGTAGTCCTAGGGTATAAAGGACTACAATTCACTTGATGTCTAGCCACAGAGGTTCAGTGTTCTGCATTAAGGCTAATCAGATGATCTTATTTTAACCTTTCTGCTTTCACTTGCTGCCTTTTTCCGCCTTGAAGAAGTTAAGACAGACTCAGTAACTGCGCTTGAATAATAAATAAGGTTTTATTTGATTATTCCACATCCGCTCTGAATTGTTGTTCACTTGTTTTAAGATAATAGAATTTCTAGCACTCAATAACAAACAGAAAGACTCAACAACTGAGAGATTTCTTATAAAGATTTTGCTGTAAAAAAAGAGAAAAATAAAAGATTGACGCAGTGCTGTGAAAAATATTTAAAGCCAGGTTGTTATTTTCTTTTACTTTTATAGCTCAACTTGGAGTGAAAACTTGCTTTTTAATGCAGAAATTTCTCATATTATTTTGTTGATTCCTAAACGATCAGAGGAAGTGAGTGTAGTCTTCAGTGAGGAGAGGTGAAACTCATCTGAGATGGTTTTAAAAGGATTAAGAGGCTCAGCAGAGTTAAGTGTGTTCAGATCTCTCAGTCATCTCAACTCAATTAACTCAGCAAGGAGAAATCATTTATACAGAGAGGCCAAATAATCCAAACTCCTGTACGATGTGATGTAATCCGACTGCCCTCAAATGAGCCCTGAAACAGTCGAGTTGAGATATACTGTCGCAGTATTCTGGGGTTGGGAATTGTTTTATTTATTATATACAATTTTGGGACAGAATGATACATAATAGTTTTAATTATAAATTGATTTAAGAGCACATTTTCCTGCATTAATGTACTATTTAATGTAAAGTTTATCTTTAAGTCAGTAGTGGGGCTCCAACATACCAACTATGTCCACTAAAACAGTAGTTCGCAATCTTTTTCTATAAGGGACCCTATGAATTTTGCACTGATTATTTCATGTTTAGGGAACTTTTTATATAATTCTCTGTCAGATTCTGTGTTTTCGTGTCCCTGACGCTTTGCACATTGTTCTATTAGACAATTTACTTTTACATACATAATGGCCTACTTTGTACATTTTTTACACCTTAAAATCAAGAAGGTCTTGTGACTTCCAAAAAAAGCTCTTAGACTAAGGTTGCCCTAAAAATGGGAAAAAGGATGCCTGATGCATGAAATCCTGAGGATGTTGAACCCTTTGATCTCTACATATTCAATATTTATGCGTCGCTAGAAGATCCACAGAACATTTTAGGGGCCCCTCAAAGTAAAATCATTTGTGCAACATAAGATAATGGCTGAATCTGTATAGAGAGTGTATATTTGAGTAGCAGCTTTGTGGTTAGAATCTGAAAAATGAATACTTTTACATTTAATGCAGTCCTGAATATATTTACATAATCTGCACTCTTCCTTTGTTCGCTGCATAATTAAAAAAAAAAAAATTCACGTAACAAACCAAATTCAAAGCATGAGGTGTAACTTGTTCCTGCCCAACAAGTGGCAGAAAGCTACTTTACCTGGGTAGAGAGGGCCTGTTAGGATACATTTAAGGGAAATATAATGAAATATAATGGTTACTGAAAGGGCTAAATCTTCAGGATCTAACTGTGAATGAATCCAGACAGCAGCGTGTCAAATTTAACACATTTATTAGTTTAAAAAATAATGTGTGGGGGGGATCTGTTATGGACACATTTTAGACTTGTGATACGTTCGAGTTCAATAAAAAAAGACGTGTTTTGGAAATTTGTAAATAAAACAGTGTATTGATTTCTAATGCCAGCCTCAGACATTTCTATTCAGTGTTTTACTGAAGTGCCACAATAATGTTCTTCAGTTCAAATATCTTCGTTTGGCTTTTCCAAGCAAATGTGGATATATGTGATTGTGATTAAATCAGCAGATATTTCTGCTGAATATTTTTCACCCCTGACTTTGTTGGATGTAGTTTGAGCGTCGCTGCTGTGACTGTTCTACTGACTTTATTTCCCCCTGCTGTATTTTGCTGGTGTTGCTTTAGATGATATCACACTATAGAGCTGAATCAAGACATCTTCAGTAAAATGTAGTTTGTAACAAACATTCATGGAGATAAAAACTAAAAACTTGGTCAGGGATTCGACTTTTACCTGCTTGTGTGTGTGTGTGTGTGTGTGTGTGTGTGTGTGTGTGTGTGTGTGTGTGTGTGTGTGTGTGTGGTGTGTCTCTCTCTC